GTCATGGAGTGCCACATTTAACAGCAGTAACAGTTTCAGGGTGACTGAAAAGTCATGAAACCTGTGAGAGATGTAACATTTTGTTAAAGTATTGTAATCGAAGAGTTTGGTACAAAAAGAAAAAGTAGATCCATTTTTTAAAACTTGGGGCTCTAAAGTAAAGGCTGAATAATTGTTACGAATTTATCTGCTGAATATCACAGTTGAGTGTTTAACACTTATGGTTTGTGTTTGTGAGGTTCCAGGTTCAAATCGTGGCCCAGAGGCTGGGTTTGTTGACTGAGGGTTTTCATGGTATCTTTAATTAGGTCCAACCACTTCTTCCATTTACTTTTCAATTCGTCATTCATTGACCATTCTCTGATTTGATATTACAGTCTGAGCTGTTAACCACAAATAAATATAAATTTGTATTAAATATGTGTCCAGGTGCTGAAAATGAATGCGTAGTGGGGATGTCGGGCTAGTTTGTCCGTGTCCACATTTCGTATGTAAAACTGGCTTTAAACATTTTTTGATGTGTAACACAATACAAGGAAAGGCTTTTATGACTTATGTTTTCTGTACACCAGTAGAGTTGTATATACAATAAATAGATTGTATCGCGACAGATTACTGTTATTCCTTTGTTTTTGTATCTTTGGGGAAAATCCTTGATATTACATGGAAGCAACATTCTAATAGTAATATAAAGAAATTATTAAATGGAATAAATATTAGATATTGACAGTTTAACAGTCATATTGGAAGACAATGTGACAATTCATAATTATAAGCTCAGTAATGTTACATTTCGTGAATGGTAGTAGGTTATAGGAACCAAAAATAAATTAAAACTTTTTTCTTCTTCCCAAGTACAAATACACACTCCACTGTGAGTACACCGTTTAACTCCTTATATTGGAGCTACTGCAAATTTAGCACAAAACTTGATCAATGTAACACTTTTTCGTAGCATTGAAACATACTTGCGTGTGAAGTAATTTTCACGTTGTTCTCACAAATGACTCATCACCCTGAAAGTGTTTGGGTAACAACACAGCCGGTTGATACATCAGAGTGAAGTGAGCAATGCTGTCCAAATTGGAATGTAGCAGTGTTGCCACATGCTTATTTTCTGTCTTAAAACTGTTCGTAGCGTTATGTTGCTTTTGAGTTTTCCGTAATTCCGTGTTTAATATAGGATTTGTCTGAGGCTGTATGGGTTGAGAAAAGTGTTTGGACTACATTGATTTTCTGCAATTCTTTAAGGTCTGTGTTGGTGACAGTTTGTACTGCAGTTATGTTAAACATTGTCTGAGACATGTGTACGTGAGAACCATTTGTGGATAAAGGCAGAGTATTGAAATAACATGGAAATTAAATATAATCTACTTTCATACAGCACAAGTGGTTCTTATATTATTGGTCGTATTCATTTTGAATTGGTATTTGTTTTGTGGAAAAAGCTTAATGTGGACTGTACATGTAGATCTGGGAGATGACATTTTAATGGCAGTGGAAATATCAGGTGTGGTCTTCCCTACTGTGACAACTCCAAAGACCACAGTTCACTCCTGTATCTCTCTATACATATAATTTTTCTTCCGTATATAATAATATGCTACAGGATACTTGTTCTGTAATGGCAGCAGCCACCATATTTTGAGATTTTTATACCAACATGTATTTAGGTAGGTTTGCTACCTGTGTTGTGAATATAATACTCCTTTATAATCCAGGTCTTGTTGAAGCTGTGCAGGCAAGCACAGGCTGTATGACATGCCATTGAGGTTAGGACTTGTATTCATTGAAGTTGGACAGGTAACATTTGTAAAGAATTTTGAGTTATCTCAATAAAATTCATTTCTCAATTACAATGAGATTGTTTTTGTCCTTTCTTCTTTCTTGGCCCTACAGCCCAGTTGTGGGTCTTCTCCACCTCCTTTTTCGAAGGTTTTCCCAGTCTGCACAATCTCTACTCATTCCTGATTTGACTGCTAGAGCCTTCTAGTAGTGCATCAGGAGAGACTTGGGTGAGAAATTGCCGCTGAATTTTGCTTACGAAACATCTCGTATCATGCCGTAAATCGACGACATGGGACCGCCGGCTTTATTTCCCCTCCGAATGACGTGCCACGAATTTTAACACCCTTATAAATCCATCGACCTCGGCCGTGTTAGAATCCGCTAGGGGGCCCTATTATCAGCATTGCAGTTTCAAGGTCGCTTTATGTCCTTTAATGAATACATTTGTGTACTTTCTTTCTTATTGTTTATATGAAATGCAGAGACACATTTGTTTGCATAGGCTGATTCATAAATATGAAAGTTGCAAGAATGGTAGTAAGTGGTCAAGCCTTTGTTAGTTTTACTGTATTAACAGTTTTGAATATGTTCAACAAACTTATTACACAAATAGGTCACTTCTGCCTGGTATGATTAATGGTGTTTGATTGCTAGGCCCAAACTGACTCCATGAGGTAGTCTCTGACAACCTAATAGTTGCTCAGCTTGTCAATGAATTCTGTGCCATTTTGTGAAATTCAAAGATTCATATCCATAATCCACAATGTCCCACCTTATTTCCCTAAGAACCATTTTAATACTATCCTTCCATATATTAAAAGAACCCACCACTGGACCGTCTTCTTCCGTGTTCATTTTAATGTGTATTATTCTCCCATATGCTTCTGGATCTTCCAAGTGTTCTCTTTCCTTCAGATTTTCCGGACCAAAACTTTGTGATCTTGTATCGTCAGTCGTATGCGTCTTACATGCCCCGCCGTGAGAACCTAAACTCTCACAAAAGTTATGGTATATGTTCATTTCTGACAGCAGTCTCTGGATTGTCAAAAGTTTCTCTTAGTAGATTTGTATTTCCAACTAAGGAACTTTACTGTGATGGTATTAAAATAGAGAATGCATCTGTGCTCCTAAGGACTATTACGTCAGAATTGAGAAGCATTGTATTGTTGAAGTCAATTCTGATTTGGCATTCAGAGAGTAAAATTTCGAACAATTTTACATCAAACCACTGTCTTACCATCTGTGCGCAGTTTCGTTACAAGATCGGCCGAGTTCACTCGTCAACAGCTTCACGAGCGAAGTGGTAACACTGCTGTCTGAAGCGCGCGCATTCTCCAGGGCTGTCTGCATCTTTTGCAACTACAGTAACTTCCGCCACGCCCTAACCACTCGTATGCCTCAGGGGGTCGTGGGTTCAAGTCTGTGAGGTATCCCAAGGTCCAACAACTGTTTTCCTGCACGTAGTCCTTTTGGGCGTGGTCAGTTTATTACATTTGCGTTTCTGCTCGTGCGGTAATTATGAAGGTACGAAGCTCGTCTAATATTGTTTAAGAATTCAGTCCGTACCGGAAAGAAAACAGGATTTCACCTTTACAAAACGAAATGGTTATGCTCTCCTTATTCTGAGAATCATACAAATGCAGATTTATTTATTCTTAAAAGGAGGCGGTACATATAGTTACCATTGTGTTTTTAAGGGTTAATACATATAAGTGACACATTTGAGTTTGTTTCCACCTGGGATAGCTTCTTTTGAAGCATTGGCTTGAAATGTGTCGTAGCCACTTCCTCAGATAAACGTTCTGTGTCGTCGGAAGACACTTGTGCCTTACTGCTTGTCTAAGATCTGTAGAACTTGTTAAGATTAGAACCGATCGAGGCTCCAATCGGACTGAACGTCCATAAAAATTTACTAATTTTGTGAATAACACATCACAGAATGAATAAAATGTATTTTCAGTGAATGACCGAGTATCGATGCCGAAAGTCAAGTTCTTTAACATTGATAGTAAAACTTTGCATTTTTGCACCAAAATTGATTTGTTTTAAAATTATGGCAGATTTTTTTTATGGTTTTAAGAACGTGAAACCGCCAGCATTGTCTGCTGCTTGCAGGGGACTAAGAATAAAATCAGGTTGAAAATCCGACTATAAGACCAGTAACTATTGATAAAAGTCAGTGGTGTAGGGTTTTCTTTCAAAAAAATTTATGGTTACTCATTTTATATAATCGAAAGGCTCATTACCGTGTTCACAGAAAGCTACCACTGGACTCCTTCCTGATACATTTTAATTCAGTTCATAGCCTCTCATCCTATTTCCCTATGCTCCTAAGGGGTCTCCTTCCTTGAGATTTTCGGACCAAAATTTTGTATGTCGTTCTCACTTCTCCCATGCGTGCAACGTGACTCATGCAGATGTGTCATGTTTAATCATCCCAACAGTATCAAATAAAGGATAAAAATTAGTATGCTCTTCATAGTGTATTTTTCTCTTTTTCTGTGTTGTTTGGATTCGTTTCGTAAACGAATTATCGTGTTTTTTGTCCAAGGTCTTGACTTTTTGAGTGTCGTCATTATTATTGACCTCGTGGTCTAAGAGAGAGGCCATCGTGTGTCCTTCAGCCGTTCGCAAAGCAAGGTTACAATACCCCACGTACACCTTTACCTCAACTAACTCCATCAAAGACTAGCGAAAGTCATCCACAAGATGGTTACGAAGTGTTGCTGTGAATCTTGCTGACTGATGTGGATGCCCCACATAAGGAATGTAACTTTGGTAACAAAAGATTCCATTGCCATATAAAATGGAGGAGGTTTCTAGGTCGGGCCTTTTCTAGGGAAATTAGACTGTGGAAGGTTTAGTCTTAATACGCTGGAGGAAGAACAATGGTTCTTTCCGTTTTGCAGGGATTTTTTTTAGAATAATTTATCCCAAGCTGATCAACACACCCCATTTCTGTCATGGAATTAAAACATTTCACAACCGTATCCAAAATAGTCCACCGCTGGACTCTGTCCACAGTTATTTCAGTCCATTAAAAGACGCATTTTAATCTAAGCTTAGGACCCCTGGTAATTTTATGTTATGATGTTTTCCATGCATTCATGCTACATGACTTGATCATCTCTCGTCATTCATAATTTAATTACCCCAGCAATGCAACTTTGTTTCCCTGTTGGAAGAACTATAAGGATTATAATATTAAGATATTTAAAAAAAAGAATAATATTTATTTTAACAAAAATACATACACACCAATGGCACGCTAGACACTACATTATTAAAGGCGTTAATTAGCTTTTATTGAAAGTGTAGCTAAAACCGTCAGGTGTCCTGTTGAGGTTAAGTTTGCCTGGTGGGAAGAATCGATGAGGTGGTGGTGTCGTGGGGTTGTACTGGGGTATGGCGTTGTGCTGCGGTTGGTAATTGTACTGGGACTGGGGGTTGTACTGGGGCTGAGGGTTGTACTGTGGCTGGGGATTGTACTGGGGTTGAGGGTTGTACTGGGGTTGAGGGTTGTACTGGGGCTCTGAGTTGTACTGGGGCTCTGAGTTGTACTGGGGTTCTGGGTTGTACTGTGACTGTGGAGGAGGGTTGTACTGGGGTTGAGGCTGGTACTGGGGTTGAGGTGCCACAGGGGCAGGTGCTACAGGTAAATGAGCGCCACTGGCCCGGAAGCCGTCCTTGCCTGCAGTGTAGGTGACGGTCCTACGCTGGCCGCTGGGGTCCACATAGCTGTACGATCCGTGGCGATTACCGTTCACATCCGACTCTTCCTTGAACTCCACGCCGTCTTCCTGAGAGTACGCAGCCCCGAAGGTGCCATCCCCGGCCAAGTAGCGCTGTTCGCTCAGAATAGCTGCCGTCTGAGGGGAGTCCCGGTATTGCGCCGTCGACAAGGCTGCTAGCGCTATCAGCACAACCTGCGGGGAAAGCGTTTGGTTTTATGGGATCTTCATGTACCGGTGTATTTCGCGCCCGGCAAATGTTGAGTCCGGTTCGTTGTTAACCATAACTCCAACACGACAAATCCCAGTGAAAGCTGTTTTAATAGCTGAGGCTCTAGAGAAGAATTAGTGACAGCGAAAATTCTGCGACTGTTCTGTAGGAAATTCCGAATTCCAGAAGAGCCTAATCGTGGCGGTACAGACATTACTGTTCAAGTGGAGGAACTAACCTAGATGTAATTACTTAATTTTGAATTAGAGTGTTTATTTTGTTGATGTCTGCAAAGACCAGCGTACTGTCATCTTAACCTTGCCTTTTATATACTGGTTATGGCGCATTAAAAGAATTTGGAAGGAGAGGGGGTGTTTATTATAAGATGTAATGTAGTCACTTGTATATAACGTGATGGGAAAGCCAGTACCCGGTCTTTGTTAAAACTAATCTAGATTAATTGTCAGTGAGACTGATTCGAACTATGTTTTTATCTATTTTAGAGGTTCGTATATCGGAGAAGGTGTATAATTTCTGGATGGAGGGTTAAAGTTTGAAAGGCCTGTAGAATTGCAAAACAGTATAAAATATGCATGTCTGCATCTTGTCCCGAATCGAAGCTGTGATTTCTGCATTTAGGTTATTTAAAACCGTTCGCGGTATGGATCCCTGGATGAAGGATCGGCTCATTACAAAAATCTGTGCTCTCGCAGGATAAAACAGATATCTTAAACGACTTTTATTTGGAACTTTTTCCACACAGGGACATATTGCAATATACAATGGCTGCTGCTTGTCTTAAAATGATTTATAAGATTTCTATAATACAGAAGGCGATGCTTCGGACCGTATCATTCACCTTTTTTTACTTATTGGTCTTTAAACAGGTTACTTTGCATTCGAAGTTCAATTTAGATAAAATTTAATCGAGGTGTTAATGATTCTTTGGAATTTATTGCACTAATATGAGCTCGTAATCGAGTCTCTGCTTTGTAGTTTTTTTTCTTACTCACGAGCTTGTCTCTAAAACGGCAAATGTGAAATATTTTATTGAAGTAACTGGAATTGCACGTGTCTTAAGACCCTAATTCTAGTGACTACATCGCTTTAATGAGTAGTGTGCGCGCAGGAACGATTATTCCATTAAAGTGAAGTTGTTATTTCAGGAAAGTCAATTAACACAACAAAATTGTTTTTTAATAATCCTTACAAAGGACGGCGCGCGATAGCATGAAGGCTGTTTTACAAATTTATATATAGAATGTTCCAAAAATATGTATACACATAGGGTTAATATTCCGCATTTTATGTGTATATTTTTGTGACATCCTGTATACGACATGAAGAATACTAATGCTGTTTTAGGTTAGGTTTGATTCGAAACGTTTGTTATTCGTCAAGCCTTTATAAATGTTTCTTTCGTAATTTTTGTGATAATTGGCTATTATTACTAAATTAAGATAGCGTTTTTCATAATACGCGATGCAGGAACACATGAGATAATCTTAGCGCGAGTTAATTCAAATGTATTGCAATTTTATTCGAGCAAAATTTGTTGTCGTACACACAAACATCTGCATACAGTCCTCGTTACGTCATTTCTTGTAGTAATGCGTTACGTGTTTATACGTTTGAAACATTATATATTCGAAACATGTGTGTTGTGTTATCTCACGGTTAAATTAGAGTTGTGTCCTAGACATCGCGTTTGTGATACGCACTTTAGTCGTGTCTCCAAATTATTCGAAAACGTCTGGCCTGGTTTGATAGAAATTTTTATCTGAAATTAAATCAGCTATAGTAATAATAAGGGGTCCGGTTGAGAGCTTTGGTTAATTCGGTGATGAACCTTTGGGTTCCGTAAGCCATCTAGTTAGCTAAGTTGTAATAATAATCTGATAACAAACGTTTTATGGTAGAAAGACTTCTATTGTGGACGTTAGTAGCAAACAAGTGATAGAAGATTTATCTCAGTTGAAACCAGAGCGGAACGTTCATGTTAACCGTGTTAGCCCGGCTAACACACTTTGAAAAATGAAGTCTCGCTCTTCTTTATCGAAATTAACACTTCAATATCGATTTTTTTTACGAAAACAGATGTCTTCGTTTGTTTCTATATTTCTATGACAACTCACAATTTAAATGTTATAAACGACAGATATTAATTTTTGTAATTTGAAAAAAACCTGTTGTGGAGGTTCTGTTTCAATTGCAGTGATACATAAGTAATATCTTAACTAGAAACGATATGTCTCGTTTTTAGCACCAAAATGGTTAAAAATCACAAATTAATGTACACATTTGACATTAAATGTTACGTTGTGCGTTAAAAATGTTTCGTGGTGTAGTTTTACGATCGGGCAGTTGTGTGAGGTTAAGAGTACTTACAAGCCTGTACATGGTGATTGTGGTCGCGACGCTCAAGGCAGTGGCGGATTGTGACTGAGTGACCACACCTCAGCTTCCTGCAGTTTATATACACACGATGCTAACCTTGGCGGTGACCCTGAGGGCCACTACTCTGCAGCAGCCAAGCTTGTTCCAGCCTCCCACTGGATCCGTGCTGCGAGGGGAGTGGGGATGTCAAGAGAAGGGAGATATCATGTGTGAAGATACCACACCAAACCATCTCCTGAAACTTTTACTTCTTGTCATAGCTTCAATAGATTATAGGCTTTGTTCCTACCAGTCATCGTGACAGTAATGTTTTAATAAGTTATAATTCACTGCGTTGAGTTAATTATCATTAATAAATCGTAGATATACGATGTACGGAAGTTTTAATTTAATCTACAGAATCTTGAATTCTTTAATATGAAAATATCTTTAAGAAAACAAATGTGATGAATTAAAATATCGAATCAGCTGAAAAGTTGTCCTCGTTTATTTATAGATGATGATTCACATTTAATTACTTGCGATCTCCCGTGATAGTTGTGTAGCTGACTATGATGTAAACTAATTAATAACTTCCTCAATAATGGAGGGAAGATCTAAAATGGTAAACGCACATAAAATAATATCCCAGCGTCCCTTAATAGCATTGAACACCAGTCAACACTTACCTGTTATGTAGATAATAAAATACGTCAATATGAAAGAATATGTGAAATAATTAACATAACATTAAAATGAGAAATATGGAGGATCAAGAAGTTGAAATTTGTTTATCTAATGGCAGTTATTGACAAATTTCTGAACACAATCATGTGAAAAGCCAATGTGAGACTTTGAAAGGTTTTGGGAGACTTCTGCCTCCATCATCAGAGAATTTTAACAGCAATGGGAGCCTAGTGGCGGGGGTTACAACGAAATTTCTAATGAAAGCGCATAATTATCTGCTGTTTTACATGGTTTTCCGCTCTGCGCCGTTTAACATCGTACCAGAGTTTGAATTACTTGCTAATTTTGCGACACGCAAAATGTTCTAGCAGCCCTGAGTTGAATATTAATTTGAAGCCTGATACATATTTATTGACTGCCGTGTTCATCGACGTGGTTTGAGTCGTGTGTTCGTCTACCAACAAGTTTTTTGCGATTACATCTAATGGAGCTGGCTACTTTACAGGTCATTAATGGAACTGCACTCATCAACATAAACGTCACTTCTTTTGCGCGACGGGGTGCCTTAGTCAGCAAAGTGACTGGCTTTTGACTTGAAGGCCGGATTTCGATTACCGTTACTGCTGTGGCCACACCGTCACTGGGGTTCGTCTAGTGGTCACCAGGAGGTGTTGGGGCACTTTCGCCAGGATTAAAACGATCGGAGCTTGAATGTGACCGCTCGTTTTTATCTAGTGCTGAGTTGTAAATTACACGGTGATGTACTTCCCACCATTTCCACAACATGGAAGTTAAGCGCAATAGGTCTGCTATTCTATTAGGGTTTTTAAAGTTGGACGCTGATGTATGTAGTTGGTTCAGCGTCTCATCAGAGGTTTCAAGTGGAGTTTTCTTTTATGTATAGTATGTAAGACTGTGTTTAATGTTGCGTCAGGAAACAGAGATAAATACTGCTTGTACTTTTCAGCTAAGATTGTTTAGGTGATTGAATCAAGGAGGATCAAATTATAACTACATGCAGATGGTCTGATATTGTTAAAATACTAATACATTGCCCGTCAAGATTGACGGGAAATATAAAGTAGTAAATACACATAGTCTACCAATACTTGCCTGTTTATTATATGGTTTGTTTAACGACGTTCAAAGTGTATAGTGGACTCGAATGGTGGGACGAATGAATTTTAAGAAATCTGGAAGGAAACGGTTGTGGCCTTATTTGAGGCACTATCCTAGCATTCGCGTGCAGGAACTGATGAAAATTCTCAGTCAGCATAGTCGGTCTGTAGACCAAGATATGAACCTGGGACTTCCCGAATACGAAGCAGGTTTGCTAATCGTTAAGGCCTCGGCCATTATTCAGTAGTTGTTTTTAATGAAACGTACAGACGAGCAAGTAAACACCTTCTATTTATGTAAAGACCATATATATTCAAAACATTATTTCGAGGTTTACAACTTTCGTGCAGGCGGACCGCTGTGTTACACTGCTGAGTCGGCCTTTCCTTGAGAGAATGTATCGGTGCTTTTCTTTGTGTTGATCGCTGCAGCGGAAAGTAAGGTAGTGTAGTGTATTAACATTTTGAAGAACAAAGCGCGTCTCAATAACATGTAAAAGTTCAGTCCGTACCGCAAAGAAAACATAACACTTCACCATTACAAAGACCAACCGGTTAATGTTATTAAATGTAAGGATCACACGAAACAAATTAATACACTTCGTAGGCAAAAATGCAGAAATATTGATTGTTAAATCAGGTGGTACATACAGTAAAGTTACCACTGAGCTTTACAGGGTTAGTGACGTTTTAAAATTCGTATTAACAGTGGCGAGATCTTGTTCAACCCTGCTTTGTTTTCGCACTGATCTTTATTTGTTAAATTTCTTTTACCTCGATATATTTTTCATTTGTTCTCACTTCACTTTTTTCATAATGGAGCTTCTCAATCGTAATATGTCAGCTGTTTCTTAATATTGTGACTTATTATCTAAAATACCTTTCATTGTCTCGGAAGTCGGTCTCTGTACGTCATCATGGTCAAACCCAGGAAAAACCAAGCGTTCTGTTATGGAAATTTCCACCTAGCATGATCTAGGAAGTGGGTCTTTTGACCCCTATGAAGACCCTATACGTGTCCTTGGTACAGTTCTCATAATGAGTAGGTAGACTGCTTGTGGCCTTCTACAAGGTCGCCATCAAAAGACTGTCTCAACTCTCTTCGTCTGAATATTATTTAAAAATTCATTCTGTACTTCAAAGAAAACAACACACCAGCATTACAAAAATCAGCTGGTTAACGCCTTCAGAGCCTCATACAGAACTTACAAATACATTCTGCAAGCAAAATGCAGAGTTATTGAATGTTAAATTATGGTTACCGCTAGTTTCTGATTAGTAAACGCGATATATGATGTAAATGTATTTTGAGAGTAAATGAACAGTTTTCTGCATAGGCCTGTGATTATTTCATAATTATTCTATGCCCCTAACACTGACCTAACCTCACTGACACTTCTACAGTTTGACCTGAGATAACTATTAGCGTCTCAAGACGGATTGCGGGCCATAGAGTTGTAGGCATGATAATAGACCTAACTATTATGGTTCGAACATGTGATAGTATCTGAGTGGGACTATTACATGAATACAAGTAATGATTCTGTATGTCATCACTGAACGTCGTAAGAAATAACATCATGTTATTTGTTCAGAACGTGCTCAGGGTTGAAGAATGTTGTTTAATGCCCTGATGACGTTCCTAAACACATCTTCAAGGCTAGTACAGCAAAAAATAAATTTAAAAAAATTGTGCATTGTAAATGCAGAACTGGAATGTGGCAGATTTTCAAGTAAAATACAGAGTGACTCGAAATTACGTCTTATAAACAAAGTGAAGAGCGTGTTTAGAAGAAAAGTGACATAAGAAACAGTTCTGATTGTCATGGGTCCACTTTGCTTTTTCACAAGGCAACATATTGTCACAGTAAAAGAAAGATGAGATGGGTTGAATGGGAGAAATGCATACAAAATTTTAGTGTAGAACTTCAAAAGAAAAGACATTATAGGAGAGGTAGGTGTTTTTGGGAAGGATAGTGTTAAAATGTATCTTAAATGTAGTGAAAATTTATCTTATATAGAGTGTAAATGTATGGATTTATTTGTCTCAGGAGAGGGTTTACAGCTATTGGCTTTTGAAATATAAAGCCAGCGAGTTTTCTAAACAAACGAGGCTATATACTTTTAATAAGTATCTTGGAATGTGGAATTGGTTAGTTACCGGAAAATAATAGCATGGAAACCTTGCAAATTCTCAGTTGATCATTACCGATGAATTAGTGTGTTAATAAATACGTGTATTAGAGAATGATTAAGCATTACAGTCTGAGTGAGAAAGGTAAACTAACATAGACAACAGTTAGATGTGTACATAGAATTTATATAATTAACCGCGTAACAAAACTCTTAACGTACGGATCGCATACGAAAGATGTTCAGGGCCGACTGCAAAAGGATAAAAGATTTATTAGGTTCAAGATGGAAAAAAAAAATTGTATGCTTATTTCGATGACGTTGTAGTGTATTTTAAATAAATTGTTACTTGCCAAGTTTGCTGTTGAATCTTAAGAAAACTTGCGCAGTGAAAGTCTTCTAGCATGCCTTTCGTAAATAATTAGACCGCCTTATTAGTGTATTAGAGAAACATTCTAGTAGCGTGCGTTCAGAATAACGTACGTAAGGAATCTTATATGTATTTGAAAACACCGATTTTCTGTTGCAATTAATATCTAAATTCAGTGGTCGTATACCATATTTCCTCGATTTTAAGACACACCGTGGATTTAATAATAGGTTTTCAGGGAAAAATTGCTATATCGAATCTTAGATGTTATCAAATTGTGAAATGCATTCCTATTTCAGACATTTTAAAAGGTGGAAACGTTCGTCATTAAAGTGGAGGAAATACGGTGTTATTAAACGTTAGAAGCCTTGGATTTCCATGGGGACAGACCGTTGGGTGTTATGTTTTTGTCGGTGAAATTAATGTTTGAAATAATGCAATTTATTTCCTTTGAAGCGTTACTAATATTTCGGGTGAATACCTCATTTCTGTCCAATGATGCAATTCTACTTTAACCGCGTTAAGCGGCTTCTATAAATCAGGTCATAAACTGGTCCTGATTAAAAAAAAGCCTAATAGAACGAATGATGTCATTTAAGAAGAAACGATACCATTCAGTATCAAAATATTTTTGCCGTTCAAACAATCCAGTGATGTCATTCTAATGAAATTCAAGTAGATGTTGGTGGGTTTCTTTACAATTTAACATATTTGATGTTACTGCATTTTTCGACTATGAATCAGCTGTAAATTGCAAGCTGTTGTGTGTACGCAGTACATG